GTGAAGGGTCTGGAGAACAAGTCTGATGAGGAGCGGCTGAGGGAACTGGGGTTGCTTAGCCTGGAGAAGAGGAGGCTGAGGGGAGACCTCATCGCTCTCTACAACTACCTGGAAGGAGGTTGTAGCGAGGTGGGTGTCGGTCTCTTCTCCCAAGTAACAGGCGATAGGACAAGAGGAAATGCGCTCAAGTTGTGCCAGGGGAGGTTTAGATTGGATATTAGGAAGAATTTCTTCACCGAAAGGGTTGTCAAGTATTGGAACAGGCTGCCCAGGGAAACGGTGGAGTCACCATCCCTGGAGGTATTTAAAAGCCGTGTAGATGTGGTGCTTAGGGACATGGTTTAGGGGTGGACTTGGCAGTGCTAGGTTAATGGTTGGACTCGATGATCTTAAAGGTCTTTTCCAACCTAAATGATTCTGTGATCTACAGGTCAAAGGAAGTGTCCTGAAGGACACTAAAATGTCTTTCTGGCACCTGATGTTGACAGTTAATTAGGAGACTTGTTCAGTTGTCATTTGCTTCCTCATTTTCTACTCCTACTCTCCATCTGTTGGCCTTCATTTTCCATGACCAGTTCAATAGAAAAAGGTAGACACATCCAACACTGAGTGGTCAGTAGGGAGAAAGCAAAGGAGTAGAGATACTACAGTGAAATTGGAACAGGAAACTAAAGAGGTTCCTGAAACGTCTGCTGTGGTTGCTGCAGATAACTCTTCAGCTCCCTTCAGCTTAAGATGCGGAGCTCAGTTGCATTAACTTCTTGTGGTAGAGAAGGTATTAGACTTAGGCCTGTGGTACAAGTCATCTTAAGCCTCACAAAGCAGCTGTAAAATTTCTCCCACCAGCTGGCTACAATTTTATTCCAGTCCCCTTTTCATAGTTATTCCTGGTACCCACTGAGTGGTGACTGAATGTACTTTTCACAGTGAAAGCCACTTTCTGTTAACTCTGGTTGTCTCTTCAGGAATGTTGTAGGGAAGAGATATAGAAAATTGATTCAGTTCATTTCTCTTGGTACCTTTCTTGAAAAACAGGAGCTGCAAACACCTCAGTCAAACAAGCGGTATGGCTCCACGTTCTCAGCAAGGCAGGATGGATGGGTGAGACTGAAGGGGCTATATGTGACAAGAATAGCAGAGCAGTGCATTGAAAAGAGGCAGTATGTTCTTGTTCTTGCCCTGTGAAGGACATTTTCATTTTTAAGGGTGGGGTTTTTTTGCTTTTAAAATTCCTTAAACATTTTTCTCTAACATTCCCTGTGGTAAAGCAAGAAAAGCCAATTCTCCACCCTTAGCATTTCATAATCCTTAGCACAATTACAGTCTTGATAAGATCATTAAAAACAATTGCCTGCAGCTGCCAAAGACCAGGCTTCGGCTCAGAGAGCATTGTGGGATTTGGTGCATTGTGACACAGACCCTCAGGAATATATAAATAGGGCTTACAACCGATGTGTAATAGATACTCTAACTACAGCATAGCCCAGATACCTTTAGGACCCAGTACTACCACACGTGGTCAGGTTGAGTTGAAGCATCTTCTTCCACTTTGATTTCAGCATCCAGTGTTGGGCTGATGGTTACCCTAACAGAACTGAAAAGGTAACCTATTGTGGGAAGAACTGTCTATAGGAAATGGACTCACAGATTTTCTGTTTAAACCTAAGCAAAAATTCTGCTTGATTATTTTATCTACTGAAAAAATGCAGAATTGGGTCAAGTGATACTATTTGTGAATTAATATTGAATTCATCAAGTGGCTGAAAAAAAAATCAATCTATCATTGTCAATTTTTTTCTGAAGTGTTTCCATTTCCCTGTGTGAAACAACGTGCCATTTTTAAATTTATCAAAAACATAAGGGGATTTGAACACAAAACCTAAATGAATCTTATTGTTTGACTTTGAATAAACTTCACCAAAAAAGTTAAAATATTTTCCTTTTGTATCAACGTAAAGCTTCCAGCAAAAGCCTTTGTCTCTTTTCAGCCTGCAGTTCCAAATCTCATCCATTCAGGGGGCACTGAAGGAGAGCTGAGTGACTTCACTTCAGTAGCTTCCCCATTATCTCGAATTCTGCTGTGAAATCCCTGTTTGAGTCTTTATTAGCCTTTTATTTCCTATATCTCCAACTCACAGAGTACATTCATCGATTGTCTTGCAGAATGCCACATCTTATAGCAGCTT